GGCTACCCGGGTTGTTACAACTCAACCCGGGTGACCCACCCACCCGCGGGTGACCCGGGTAAGACCCACCCGGGTCAAAACACTAAGTCAGAATCAATGAGTTACTGATGTTGGCTGATGTCAAAAACTTAACATTTCGGTCATTTTTCAAGTGTCTAAGATGGTATCTTAATATTATACAAATACTTAGTGCCTTTTTTTTTATTTTTTATAGTAGTATCACATGAAAATTTTGTGCAATTACATGTGGGATATGAAAACCGATTATAAAATTTTGTATGGCCTAATTTAGGCATCCAAAAATATTTTCACTAGGTTAAAATTTTTAGCCATACTAAAATATTTTCACTAGACTAAAATATTTTCGCCATACTAAAATATTTCGCCATACCAAATTATTTATTAGTTTAGTCAATGGAAAATAATTTCGCCAGTTTAAATTTCGCCAACCATTTATAATAATTGCTTACTAAGCTCGATTGAGATAAAATACATTTGGGATTATTATGAAATGAATATCAAAGAAATAATTGAATCCATATATAATAAGTGCCTACGGAGCTTGTTTAGACAAAATAAATTTGTAAACAGGTTATTTCAGATAAAATACGTCAACTATTTAACTAAACTAGATTCACACACTTTTAATTCCATTAATAAGATTTTATTATCATATAAAATGAAAGAAATTTATTTGCCAATATTATTTATTATCATATAAAATGAAAGAAATTTATTTGGCAATATTATTTATTTTCATATTACAAATTTCTTCTGTGGTTCATGCTCAGAATCATCCGTTGGCGAAGTTGTGGGATATACGAGATGATCAAGTACTTCAGCACTTGCGTAGAGAAGATGATTTAATCAGATTAGAAAGAATCATAAAACCACTAATAAATGAATCATTATTTGGTGGAATTTATGTAGATGTTAAGGAGAATAAGTTACTTGTCTATATAAAAGATCCTACTATAGAAAACTTACCTGCACTGGATCCGCATAGAAATTTTCTGACATTTCATACGGTGAATAAATCCCTAGATGAATTGAAAGCTGAATTTAATAATTGGGTTAATGCAGCAAAACTATTTTCGCAAGGAGACCATTATGTTTATATTGATATAAGAAATAATGAAGTCTTTCGAGGTAAACCGAACAAAACAACAAATGCCAGACATCCTGGTCCAAGTGAGGAACTACATAAACGACAAAACAGACCACAAATAATTCAAATAATCGTAGCTGGTGATGGTATTTTGAATGTGAATAACAACCAAAGAAAAACATGTTCGGTTGGTTTTATTGCACGTTCCCACAAAAGAACTATGGCAAAGCAACCCATATTTTATGTCATAACCGAAAGAAATTATTGTCATGAAAGAGATGACAATGACAAGGCAGCTTCATTTGTTTTACGGGCATGGAATTCAGTAATTACTAATATTCAGTTCATGAAAATTGTAGGTATCATGTATACCCATAATTTTACAAGGCCATACAATTTTGGTGAAATCCAGTGGACATCTAGATCATTGGCTAAATCACCAACTATAAGAAATTCAGATGATCAAAATTATCAAGAGCTAATTATACATGGTACTAGAAAAGAAAGTGAAACTATCCCTGGAGGCCATATATGCCATTCAGGGTTTGGTACACATGTTACTTGTGGAAATATAAAAGCTTTTACTGGATTTTATTTAGATAAAAAAAAAATACCATCTGAACGTTTGATAATTACAGATATGCAAACCGCTATAGAAGATTTAGGTGGTCCCGTATTTCTTTATACTCCAGAAAATTTGGGTTTTGTAGATCTATTTGGCATACAAGTTACTTCAAGTCTCAAACTTACTGCTGCTCTATCATATGAAATTATTCAAGATATAACTGGATATTCTCTTTATAATGGAAGTGATGATTAAGGATGATGAACAAACTTTTTCTTGCGTATTTTTGATTTATTAATATTTATTTCATGGTACTACGTAATTACATGTGTTTTTTTGTTACGATCAGAAATGTTATTAAGATAGTTATTTTTGCAAGGGTCTATATCCTGATAAAGAGTTAGTGCTTTGATAGTTATATAAAATATCAGCTTACTATATGAGTATCGCTAAAAGAAAACCCGAAAATTTAAATGTAAGTCATATTTAAATTTTCGGGTTTTCTTTAGCGACACTCATATTATCCAATATTGATATGTTTCAATTTGTAGCTTACCTTATTGTTACTTAATATTTAAAGTTTGAATAGAAATTACAATGACAATTTGGCTACATTACTGCAATTTAATAACTATAATACTTTTACTATTAAAGTATCAAATTAATCTATATACAGTTAACTTTCTGCATGCTAAAATTTCCATGTGTTATTGTTTTCTGCGTTTTCAACAACAGAGAATTACAATTTTATAAATTCACATTGATTTTTTATTTAACTGAATATGGTTTCATCATTTTTCAATTAATTTACTTTGAAATTAATATATTATTGTTAAATCTCTCAAAACTGATATGCATAGTAGCAGGTTTAGTACTAGGATTAAGAGGTTACTAGATTTGAAAACATTGCAACTAGTTGAGTTATATAGTATAAACAAACATGGCAGATTAATTTTTTGCAATTTGACAGGTGATCTATCAATTTTAACAAAATCAGTTTTAAGAGGTTTAACAGTATATATAAATTTAAAGTAATATATATTAGACTATACAATTAATACTAATATAAATAATAAGAGTACTTCAACTGATATACTAGCAGCAGAACTTACAATATTAAATAAAATAGAAAAGATCTATATTTATCTATATAATAATGATATATAGTCAGACCTCAATATAATTACCAGGTTTAGAACCAAATATTTGGTAACTATAAAAAAGTGTGACTATATAAAGGTCAAATTTATGTTTTATAATGTCTAGGATTAAGAAATAGTGTAACTATAACAGTGTTGTGACTATATCAAGAGTGATTATAATAAGGTCTGACTGTATATACAACATAGCTAATTTTCTTTATTACTAGCCAAATAAAAACTTTAAAAATTTCAATATTCTATATTTCTGCTTTACTATTAACAATATATCCAACTTTATTCAAATACTTCTATTTCTTCTAAAGTTTAGCTAAAAGCTTTTCTGGCAATAATAATTATATCTTAAAATACAAATAACAATTCTATAAACAAAAAATCTTAAAATAGATAATAATACAATTACTAAAAAGATTTTACAAATTAATCGTATCTTTATAAACTATAGGAGGTTTTTGGCACTTTTGATAAAGTTTAGATTACATATAAAGTATCTAACTTTAAAGTATATATAATATATTTATAAAATATAATTATATAACTTTTAATAATAAAAACTTGAGAGGATTAATTATATAACTCTTCTTAATAATAACTTGTTCAAATTTTTTTTATAAACAATTTGTATTTTTGCAAAATTTTACTAAGTAAACTATAGTTGACTGTCTAAGTAAAATTTTATATAACATTTTACATATCAGTAGCTTTTTATTATATCTTTTTAGCCCTTCTACAAAGAGATATAATATATTTGTTCAAATTACTATTTCTTTAAATATCACAAAATTATATTATGTAAACATTATTTGTTCCTTAATAGAAAACATTAGAGCTTATCAAGAGCTTCATTTTGATATATTATATATAGCAAATATACTCAAAAAATCATGCAAATTCTTTTGCAAAAATTTTTGCTAATTTTCTGCAAAAAATTTTTTCTTTTTTTGAGGTTCTGGCTCTTTAGAATACTCAAATCTGTAGATTACTATTATAAATTAATATTTCTAATTTATTTATATAAAAATATTATTTGTTTCATCTATATTTATTTTTATTTTTAAATTACTATTTTGTCTTAATTACTTTATACAACTTTTGTTACACTATTGTTACTAATATAAGATTATATAAACATACTAGCTATACTAGTCACAAAATATATAACTTGCTATTACATAAGATTATACAAGATTACACCTACTAATTGTATTAGCCGCAATTCAATTTAACACCTGTTTTTAAAAAACAACTCTGCTAAATTTAACAATTTTAAGTTTCTCTTTATTAAACTTATCATATAAGTAGATTTGCTAATTACTAATAAAAATGATAAAATATTTAACAGTAAATAACTTTTTATTCACTAATCTGTTTGTGATGATTTTATCACCAAAATAAATGTTTCAATGAGATGATTCTAATGAGCCTAAAATTGTCAAAATCAAATTATGGAATGCCGAGATAATTGAAGTTGTCTTTGCTTTGGGTAAAATAGAATGGGTTTTTAAATCATCCTATTTTACCAAAGCAAATAACTTTTTAATTATTTTAGAATCCCATGATTAGATTTTGACAATTTTAGGCTCACTAGAATGGTCTCAAGCGAAATTTGAATCTGTGCCCGGTTTGTCGATCATCATGCAGAGTTTGTATAACATCTACAAATAATACCGGTATATGCATGTAATAGCATAAATATCAAACTTTATTATTTTAATTCCAAGTTATTCAAAGCGATTTATTCAATCTATTTATTCAAACCGATTTATTCAATCTATTTATTCAAAGCGATTTATTCAATCTATTTATTCAAAGCGATTTATTTAAAGTGATTTTTTCTTACATAGTTTTCATACATTCTTAGTTTTTTCTTATCATCTTAATTTTTTTTATCATAGTTTTCTTAATTTTCTCTTACGTCTTTAGTGTTTTTAACTTCCTTTTACATTCTTAACCTCTCTTATATTCATAAAATGATTACAAAAAGACTACCTTATTTTGTTTTATCTTACGTTTTTAAAATGCTTACAAGGCAGCTAACTTTATCTACTTTACACCATTAGGTCTGTTTTCTTTTAAAGCCCGATTCAAGTTATGTGAGCGTTTTTTTGGGTGTCTTTTTCGTGTTAGCATAATTGAACGACTTAGCTTCTGGGTTGTTTCGGTATCGTTAGCTTGAGTGTTTTTTCTTGGTCTTCCTTGACGAACTTTTCTAAGCCCATGACTTAAACCAACTCTACGCCGTGAAGTGGCAGCGACTTGAACTCGTATTCTCTTTCCTCCTCATTGATTAATTTTACCGTTAACTCGACCTGCATTCCAATCACAAGTATGAAAAAAGGAAGCCAATGCTGGAAGAACGTAAGTATTTTGTGCAGACCGATGCTGTTTATATATTTCGACAAACTTCTGAACGCCACTATTTAACGCATGGTCATTTTGTTTCAAAAGGCTCTCTAGGTCGTTATAGAACTAACGAAACTTATCTATAATATTTTCATTATTATCGTCGTTAATATCAATATCACTGATATTATAATTAATGTCATTACCAGTGACATAATCATTGCTATCAATATTATCCTCGCTATCATTGATATTATTCTCACTGTCATTAATAGCGTTAATCTCATTCTCAGAATTATTAATATTGTTAATATTATCACAGTCATTACTATTGTCGTTAATATTATCACTAGTGTCATTACTACGGTCACTATAAAAGTCATCACAATTATCACTACTATCGCTATCATCAATACTGCTACTCATACTAACATTATTATTGCTTTCTTTCTCAAGCTGTTCTTGATGAAGACCTGCATCAAAACTGAGAGGCTTGTGTTTTTCACCTAAAGCCAGGTAGGCATAATGAAGCCGGTTACTAACGGACATAGTGGGTATTTGATTTAATCCACATATACTAAAATGTTTCGCCACAGAAGCTTGATGTTTACACAGGGTTCCTATTGGACTACATTCGCAAGTACCAAGTCTCATATCAACAAGGTACCATACGTCTTTATTTTTACTGCTTCTGTGTCTAAAAACCATTGAATTTTTATTTATAATTTCTATATCGTTTTTTTCTCCAATCTTCCATCCAGAGAGTTTAAATCGAAGTGCAATGAAATTATCCAAATTATTATGCGCCACCGTCAATAGCCTATGAACATAATAAAGATCCATTGTAGTTATGATAAATTGGTATATTTGTACAATGTTATATGCTTGCACATGTTTAAAAACGATATCTTTTAAAATTCTAATTCCGGCTTCTGCGAAATTATTAGTGTTATTGTTACGGATTGGTAGTTGTTGGCGGAAGGCAATAGCCCATTCATAGCGATGATCCCAAGAAGCTTTAAGGTGATTTTGAAAGTTTGAATATTTTGAATAAATTTGACTTGTGGTTAAATCATTATATATGGCATTAAGAGTTATTTCACTTTTCACAAAGACCATTTTTTTTATGTATTCAATTAAAGTCACACAGTCATTGTTACAAATACCATGCTTTCCGTCCCAAAGCCATCGCCACATTGCTTGCAAGAAATGAAAAACACATAGCAGTAAGGTTGCATTTTTCCAAGTATTATGCAATGCTGTTTTTTCAGCTTTACAATCGTCTGTCATTATTACCTGTGGACCAAGAGCAGTTCCACGTTCACCAAATCCTGCTGATGGAATCAGACATTTTAATATTTCTAGAGCTTTTGTGAAGGTATTTGCTGATTCGTCTGAAGCAATAATCACGCCAAGAGGCAAACCACCTGCAGGTGTGCTTGTCGAGAGAAGTGTAAAGGGAGTATTAAGAACATCTAATCCTGCAGTTGTATCCATATAAACTAACTCACCCGCTTCCTTTAGTGTATGACAACGCATCATGAGATTCGTTATAATAACAAGAATAAAGGGCTGCCCAGGATCATCTTTTTCAGGAGCAATATATTTTTGCATCCATGCATTCCCTTTATTATTATAGTTAAATTCTGCGACTTCTTTTTCCAACCGATTGAACATATCTTCTCCATTTTGTGCACCTAAATATTGGTTACGATGTTTTTTATAAAGATAAAAAACATCATTTTTACGGGG